TCCGTCCCGGCTTGATCCGGGCGGGCCGGGGAGCCAAGGCGGCGGCGGCGGCGGGCGCTGCCGAGCCACCAGCTCACCGATGGCTGTACTGAACGCCTGAATTCCCTCAGCGAAGCTTTAATTCACGTGTTTAGCTGAATTTAAAACCTAAGGCAGTAACGGCAGTGGGCGACGATTTATTTATTGATTTCCCTTAAGGGGAAAGGAAAAAAAAAAAAGTTTTCAGAAGGAAGGGGAAGAAAAGCTTTTGACGTTCCTCATGGAAAGCAGGCCTGCGGGGTTGGAAGCGGGCAGGGCCGCGTTGGAACCACCAGCCACGTTTTGGCGCCGAAAATGGCGTTCGCGGCGGTGTTTGCCCCGCGGGAAGCGCCGTCCCTGAGGGGACACGGCCCCCCTCGCCGCGGGGGGGGTGACCCACGAAGGCTGACCCCGACCCTCGCGCCGGTTTGCGGCGGAGCAGGCGAGAGCGGCTCTGGGCACGGCGGGGGGGCCCGGGGCTGCCGCCACCGCCTCAGCCCGACACCCGCTTTCCGGGAGAAACGAAAACTTTTTTTTCGGAAACGCAAATTAATTTCTTTGGGGCGAACTTTATGACCTCGAATTTAAAACGAAGAAACAAAGAAACCAACATAATAAAGGAATAAATAAGGAAACAAATCGGAATATCTACCCTGGGTTTGGCAGTTCTTACGCCAATCTCCTGCAAGGTGCTCCAGGCCCCATGGCCTCTGCTTGTAGTTTGGGTTTGGTTTGGGATCGATTACTTATTTTTTATGTAATTGTTTTTTTTTTTTTGATTGTTTGTTTTCAGGTCCCCAGGATAAGTGTGAGGAAAATCAGAGAAATGATGGAGAGCTGCAGCCACACAGAATACCGACAGAGCTTTTACCTGACCCTGCACTCTGAGGGTTTGCTCTTCCACGGGCCCCCCTACCTGATCCTCTTGCTGCCGCCACGGCTGCCGCTGCTACTGGTCCATAAGCCGCTGCCGGAAAACCTGGCCGTGGAGAAAAGGAGAAGGGTAAAGAAAGAAGCCAGCAGGTACCGCGAGTCTCTGCGGGGCGGCCGCCGAGGGCACGGCGTTTCCAGAGCTTGCCGTCCCGGCTCTCCGTGCCGTCGACAGGCACCATTTTTAGGAATAGCCGAGCCCTCGCCGGGTGCCCACTGCTGGTGGTCTCTGCCGGCACAAAGGCGGCCCAAATCCCCTTGGCAGAAGAGGAAGGTGACGGCGCGTGCCGCTGATGGCGCGCCTGGTCACGGCACGCCGCGAAAGCCAAGGTGCCGGGGCGGACAGACTGGCGGCAGAGCCTGCAGTGCTCCGCTTACGTCTCCGTACTCTCAAACGGCTAGGGTCAGACCGCTTCGCAAAACAAGGGAATTCTCTTCTTTGCTTATTTGCAAGTGATAATAACGTGCTGATCTACAGACATAGCAGTAATGGAAAATATGAGGAGGTCCTCATGTCAAGATCACAGATTTGCTGGGATCAAGCAAAAAAAAAATAAAAATTCACCGGAATGTAATTTAAAAAAGAAAGAAAGAAAGAAAGAAAGAAAAAAAGCTCTTGAAAGCAAAACAGCCGCAGATCAAGGAGCTCTAAGACATACACCCTACTACAGGGGGACCGAGCCCTTACAGATGAATGAAATGCTGCTAGTAAGATTGCAGATTTAGTTTACTTAATTAATATTCAGAAGATCTGCCAGAGGCTCTGACTTTAAATATATATATTTTAAGAGGGCAATGGCAAGGTCCAGGTGATCAGCAAGAACCCCAAACCCCCTTGCTCCAAAGCCAACAAAACCCTCGGAGGTTCCTGGTCTCTGGGGAGCTCCGACTGCTCCGGGCACCCGACAGGACAACCCTGGGGGTAGTCACCACCACGGGACCTGCCCCTTGAGGGGGCTCCAGGACTTTGATCACAGCTGCTTTGCAATGCTGAAGAACCACAGAAAAACAACTGAGGCAACAGAAAAAGAGAACAGCGAGCTAGAGGAATGGAGAGAGCGAGACCCAGAGAAATCAGCAGACTACAAGCCCGCTACCTCTAGCACTATCGTCTCAGCTACAGGTAATCTACCAGGGAGAAAGGAGCAGAGAACAACTAGGCTAGAGTGACTTGAAGCTACTTAAAACATCAATTAAAAAAAGACATACTTGCATTTAAATATGGTAATAGGGCTGTTGGGGGAAAAAAAATAGTATAGGTAAATGTATGCACAGCTACCCCAGGCTGCTGTCTGCTGCTGCTCCCCATGCGCAGAGCCCACGCGCCGCACAGCAAATCCTGTTCCTTAATGCCAATGGGAAGCTGTTTGTTTTTATTATGTTGATGAACTGCTACAATCTCTGTGGAGTGGGATGCAGGAGGAAGCACACCCAGGCGGGGGGATATTATAACCAAATACCAAAGTGCTAAATTCCCTCTTGCTGGTGATGGAGCCATTGACCCCGGTCGGGTCGCCCGACATACGTTTAGCGCTGGAGCTGCGGTATGCTGGAGTGAGAAGACCTCGGCGTTAAGCGTCAAACCAACCTCTAAGCAGCAGGGAAAGCGTCTGCAGGACAAGGGCTGAGGCTCTGGGGCTTTGTTTTCATGCAGAGCCATGCCTGGGCCAAGCCCTGAGCTCTCCCGCTGCGGGTTAGGCAGGAGCAGAGCTGGCACTGTCCCTACAGCCTCTCCTTCTCCATTCCCTGCCCACCACAGCACACGTCCCAAGAGCAGTGTCCTCAGCGTTCCCATGGCACATCCAGGACCAGCTGGCCACCAGCAAATCTCTCATTTGGAGGCTCCAGGGGCTCCCTAAACCATCCATAAACTATCAGAGGAGCTGTGGATTTTCCACGGAATAAAAGGCCTCTGCCAAAACCAATCAAATACCCTTCAAATCACCAAGCATCCCCTGAAAACAGCATAAAAACCAGGGCTGGAAAGTTTGTTTCTCTTGTTCAACGGCCAGGGACGCTCAGTATCTATTTGAAATGCAGGACAAAAAGTTTTGCCATGCAAAAGAAGAATGAAATAACAAGGGTGGAGAAGGCACTCCACAGAAAGAGCCTGAACAAAGGATCCGTTATTGCATTCCAGTGGACAGATGTGTGAAAAATCAATCCCTCCACCCCCCAAAGAAAGCTATTATCCCAATTCTGAGATAAAAGCATCTGCGCGACATGGCACTCCAGACAACTCAAGTGTGATCGGCTGCTCGTGCTCTGCCCAGGAACGCTGCGGCCGGCCGGGCAGAGGCGGAGCGGCAGTGGCACGGCTGCGTGGCCCTTACCGCTGCAGAAGTGGGAGGCGGAAATGGGGATTGATGATCAAGATTGGCAAAAATCCGCTTACCGATACAGATTCACAGGCTGGCTCCATCACTGGAGGATCTCTAAATCAACCCAACGTACTGAAAGTAATCAATCCCCCACACTGAAATTACATTTGCCAGGCACTGCATTCATCAGCTCGTTCAGCTGAAAACAAATTTCCCCATCACCACACTGGTGACCACATTAATGCCGTGCGACATCTCACAACTGGGCTAACTTACTTTTGTAATTATGTGGTTGTTTGCTCCCAAACCTCTCAGCAGTGATCGGCAGCTGACGCTGTCCCCACGTCACAGATAGGATAAAGTGAGGCACAAAGAAGCAAAATGACTCGAGAAAGACATTTTCAGATAGCCAAGGGTGCAGCTGGGCTCTCGCAGGTTCTGGTCTCAAGACCCACCACTAATCTCTGTAATCCCCCTTGTACCAACCCTATAGCATTATTTGAGCACTTTGGTCACACTGTATTATTCCCTCCCGTTGTTTCTAAACTTCCACACCAGTGAAGACTTCAAAGAACAGCACTACAGTGACAGTACAATTAATACTGAACCTGTTTTGTGTACTGCAAGAAACTTCTGCCTCTACCACCCTTCTGCCTGTGCTGTCACGCCATTTTATTAAAATCTGAGAGCTATCTGCAGCTCTTTAGTAAAGAGGAAAGCATTAGCAGGCACTTTCGCTGGTTTCCAGGCCCTCAGAAGGAACCTGCTTGTCCACTGAGCCTCTTGCTGGTCCTCCAGACCATGCCGGTGCTTTGGCGAGGCTGTGCGCCTTGCACACATTCCCCTCCCCTAGCATCGGGGTTTAAAACAAGGTGAAATGCAGCCGCCCAGTCCCAGCGGCACCTTCCCGGGTGCTGTTCCCCAGGCAGCAGCAGAGGTGGATGCGATCCGTCCCGCTCTGACTGATGGGGACCCCAGCACGGGGCACTGGGGATACCTCCGAGGGCCGGAGCAGGGGGCAAGGAGACGCGTTAGCCGACAGAGCCCAGCGTGTGACGTGCCAGCTCCACCGTTTTCCCTTAGCAATGCCTGGGAAGCGCAGGCTTCTCTGGGAGACAGAGCAGTGGCTTTGGGGATGCGGGACTGCTGGGCGTGGGGGGACCCCAGGGGCCACGGAGGGCTGTGGGGTGTCAGCAGGCTCTTTGAACCCTGCAGCCAGCTGCCGAGGGGCTTGCATGCTCCCGGTTCATTTTTAACAGGTGGCTCAGAGGTAACCGGGTGCCAGGGATGGGCGCCTGGACCAGAGCGCCTTGAAATCAACGGGAACGTCGACTGCAGCGCACTCTGGATCCCAACCCCAGCGACGATCCCACCGCTGGCCAGGCAGGGAGCGCAGCCGGCGCCTGCCCGGCTCCCTCCGAGCCCTCTGCTCTCTGAAGTCAACTGGAAAATCAAAAGGGGTGGAGGGAGAGATCAATTCATTCATCGTGTTTGTTTAAGGTACTCCGATTCCTGCTGAAACGATCCCTGTCTTTTGCGTATCCGCTGCTTATAATTGCCTAGAGAAAACAAGATACCAAAGCTGTTCAAAAGCACAAAAGTGCCCACTTTAGGCATTGCAATTAGAAGATATTTTACAATAAATGTTTTGCAATGGGCTCGCACACTGTCCAGGAAAGCCCTGAGGATTCACATCAATTTCATGCTCTCTTATTGCTCTGAACGAGCTAAAGCCAGTATTTGGAGTTCAATTTTTCACAGATAAATTTTTCTGCTTCCTGCATCAATAGTTTCACTTTAAATACTGAAGCAGGCTTGTGCGAGGAAGATGGACACATCTGGTTTTAAATGCTTTGCCCTAAGGTCACAGATTTAGTCAATGGCTGGCTGTAAGCAACTGCCTTCTCCAAGGCACAAATAAGTTTGGGAGAAGGGGAGGGGGGTCAAGGGCTGGTGCATGCCCAGGGGCAACCGGGCTGGATTTGGGCAGGCAGCACACAGCCCCGCCGTCTCCCGCTTGGCATTACCGAGCAGAGAACGCCGAGAGCCCAGGATTTAGCGGATCTTCCAGGGGCTTTGTGAACGAATCTGGCGAGAGCTACGCTGCCTGAGCAGGGCCAGTCCTTACGGGGGACTCGAGGGGTTCAAGGGCTCCCAGCGAAGGGCACGCTCCCTCCACAGGTCTCTGCCGTGCTCCTTCTCCCACCCTGGTGGGATCATTCCCTTCTCAAAGTGCTGAGCTCTCCTTTACCCCAGCCTGAAGCTGGCTACAAGGCAACCAGGAGTGAGTGAAAAACACCAGAACTGTTTACACCCCCTTCCTCCACGCGTGCTGCCAGGACTCCCTCGTGTGCAGCCCTGGCTTTTCATGGACTCCTTCAGACCTGCTCTGCTCTGTCCAGCCCCTGAACACCCCAAATATCTTGCATCCCCCAAGGACACAAGACCCTGTCCTCTACAGACAGCCAGACGATGGGAATCAAACCAAAAAGAAGTCACAAAGATCATGAGATTAGTTCTTACATCAAAAAATATCATGCAGAGAACTTTCTCTGCTTCTAATGGCTAAAGCCCTTAGGGCACACGAGGTCATGTTTAGACTTTAGCAATAAGCACAGGGATTTAAAACAAGAATAAAAACGGAAGCTGAGATGCTCAAATCATCACCTGATTTCAGCACCGAACTTGGGAAAACATCCAAAATTATGGGACACGCATGGAGAATAAA